AAAAAATCCTTTGCCAATGTTTTAAAGATCAAAATAAAAATGCCAATGAAAACAAAAATGAAAGGGACAACTTAAAGAGAGAACTAATTTGGTGAAGACAAAACTCTACAGTATTTGATGCATGCTGGTTAAATCATTAGGACCTTTTTTTATAGTTAGATATTTTATAAATAATCTAACTGGCATTCCATTTTACCCCTCTTCTAAATTTTCTTTTTCTGGTAATGTTAAAGTAGGCAATGAAACTGATAAGAATTTATTTCTATCTTTATTTTTTAATGGGTGATCTGTGTATTAGAAGGATGAGAAGTTCGACTTTTTCATTTTGTTAGCCAAATCTTACAGAAAAGGCATCCACTAATAAGATTAACAAATTAAATATAAGTCCAAATTCCAAAGTAACTTGAAAGCTTTTCCTCTAACAAAAAATGTATGGTAATTTTAGGAGGAAGTATTTTAAGCTTATCTTCACTGTTTTCACATTGTAACCAAAATGGCAGAACAGCAAGTAAATACCAAGATAACAAAAATGATGGAAGGAAAAAATGATAACCCAAACAAAATTAATTTTACCCAGACAGCTTTATACGTATAAAGTCAAATCAGCACAGATGCATGTAAATACTTCCAATATTGCATCAATGTCAGTAAATAATTCTATAAGTATTTGTTTTTGTGCCATTAACAAACCTCAAAATGAATGATAAAAAACACATATTCTTATTCCCACACATAGATAGCATTAGGGCCAAGTGCAGAGAGGTTCTTTGAATTAGATCCAATTTCCTATGGCAGCAGATAGGCCCTAGTGTTGCCAGCAAACCAAAGACTAATTAGGATAATATGCATGATAACATCAATACACAAGCAATGGTGAGTGGTTAATCAAGCCAAATGCCATCAATACAAATTATATCAAGAGTCAATAAGGTTAATTTAGTAATGTCTACATAATGACTTACCTTTCAACCAATGTATATAACTAATCACTACTAAAGTAAAAGATATAGGTTACAAATTCATTACAATTGATAAATTATTATTTATTGGTCCCAGTCTACAACGGTAAGAGCTTTTTGCTATCATTGTTTGGGTAAGTAAGGTAATTATGGGAGAGTGATTTTCTTAACTGTTCACTTACCCATTCTTTTGCAAACCATCATGGCATATCAATAAGACATTTTGACAAAATATTTGGAAATAAGACAGAATGTAGGGAGAAATGGAGTTATACTTTCTCCCAAGGCATTAGTGCAAAAAAGCAAATGCAAACAATCTTGGCCAGAATTTGAACTCTGCTCACTGATTCCATTGTCTGTACCAGTAACCATTAATCTAACTGAGCTTCCAACTTCTGAATTAGATTGAAGTTTGATTTTCAATCTCAATTAAAAAAAAAAAAAAAAAAGAAAAAAAAGCTACCAGTTTGGCCACATTTTGAGATTTAATCGAGCAAAAATATTAAGTGCACAAAATTTACTCTAGAGTAAATTTTGTGCACTTAATAGTTCCCCCCACTTTGAAATGGAATCCATATTAACAAGGAAATTGAAGAAATATGCTGTATAATTAAATTACTTTGTAAATAAACAATAGCTTTAAGCAGTATTGCTTTAATGTATGTCCAAGTGTGTATATGTGATGGTCAATTAACTACTCTGACACAAAAGGATACTGCTGGTTACAGGCAGACAACTTGCTAAAAATCAAGGTTTAAAACAAAATAAAGTATTCTCCATTAATAAAATGTATGAATACAAAAAGGCAAATTACAAAAGGAAGCCACAGGTATTATAAAGAATTTACTTGTAGACAATCCTAACTTAGCAAAAGACAACATTAGTCTTTTGCTAAGTTAGGATTAAGTCTACAAGTAAATTCTTTATAATACCTGTGGCTTCCTTTTGTAATTTGCCTTTTTGTATTCATACATTTTATTAATGGAGAATAATTTATTTTTCAAGAGAATACTTTATGTTTCAAGCTGCGGCATATTGCTACATGAGCCAGAAGATCTTAGGAACACTAAATTAAAATGATTGATAAATCAACTCAATATTTGATTTGAAAATAAAAAATAGAATTAGTTTACAACAATTTCTTTTAATTTTTTATATATATATATATATATATATATATATATATAAAATTTATAAACAAATAACTAATGATAGAATTTTAGTTAACCCATTGAAATATTTGCATCTTTAGAAAATTCACATTCTTATGAAAAAAAAAGGGGGGAGTAATCAGTAAAATAAACTTATTGTAGTTGCAACTCATGATTATTCATGTTTATAAAGGATAGTTTCATTTGCTAAAGAATAATTCAAGTTCTAATTTAGTAAAGATAATCTTGTCTCCTAATTATTAAAACATTAGTGGATTTATTTTTAATACAACATTTTAATTGCTTCAATTATTATTTTTAGTGAATAACTGTATTTTAAAAAAATACAATTTTTTTTTATTTTAAAAAGTGTGTATTACATCTATTGGCTTATGCACTAATAATAACATTTGACGTAATAAAAATGTCAGATTAAAAATAAATCCATTAAGAATTGCTGTGTTTACATTTCGTGTACAAAACTGAGAAGATATGGGCTTTCGAGAAAAATATGAATGAGGAAATGTGCTTTTGTAAAAAAGGGAAATAGAACCTTGCTGGGCTGTTTGCTCTCTGTGGTAAAACAGTCTAAGGCACCTCAGATTAAATGATGATTTCTTCAATAAAGGGGGATGCAGGCTTGAACCTTCTCAGGGAGGATATTTTGTTGGGAATTTTGAGTGTGCAGGTTGATAGATGTAATACACACTGTTTAAAATAAAAATGGTGCATCTATTTCAAATAATGGTATCCACTAAAAATAAACCAGCCAATGATTACCCCATATTGCATTCAAATTCATGATCTTACTGATGTGCACTGAAAGTTGGGGAAAAATGTGCTGTATACTCTAAAGGTAACACAATGAAAGACAAACACCACATCAAAAAAATAAGAACACGAACACCGATTCCAATATTATATGGGAGTGTTTTATTTAGGGCTTCACCCGCTCGTCTGGGTGGGAAGGTAGGTAATACTTGGGACAACTAATGCTATGTTAGTTCTTCCTCTATCAACTCATCCCAATCTGGTGGCTGGTAATATGAAATGAAGACTTTGGAACTTTGTGACAGACTTGTCAGTTCCCTACCAAAGGAGACCAGAACTCTCTCCAATCCCAAGCATGACTGTTAATATAGACCAGTTATGGTTAGTGAATAGTTATTTTATTGTGAAAACATTGATTCACATAACAAATTCTGACAGTGTAAACATTAAGAAATCATTAATCTGAACCAATTGCAGGCATGTATGAACTTGTCGAGTCTATAGTGAACATTAAAAAAGTTTGAGCTGAAAGGTAATTTAAAAAGTCAACATTCTTAACAGGATGGATATATCTGATAAGATATTGAAAAGAACTTCAATCAGAGAGTAGAGAATACAAATTACAAATCCACACCTACATTAATTCATGTTAGTACTAAACAACAAAATAAAAACTGAGTACATAACTCAAGGACTTGGAAAATTTGATACTCACAGGACAGATTGAAGGCAAGAGGAACAGAGGCAAACAATGCATAAACTACCAAGTGAGCTTGAATAAATGGATGGCAGAACAATATTTAAGAGAGATAAAACAAAGTCAAAATTTATTAAGAGCTACAAAGGACAGGAAATTGTGGAGAAGCAACACAGTATATAGAAGACATGACTATCATCAATCTTAGTGTGTCAAGTTAGAATGAGGAATTGGAAGTAAACTGAGAAAGATAAGGTAGTGAAAATAAAGAAAACTTTACCTAAAGGCTTTATTTTAACAAAATCTGTTAGTTACATACTCAACAAATATAAATAAAGACTGCTATATATGAATAAAATTCAGGATAGGAATAGTCCACTCCAGTCTGCAGCGGCAGGAGAGAATGGACTATATCCATTATTTACAACAGTCAACAAAAAGAAAAAATATCAGATAATGTTTCTTTATGTTTGACATTACAGAATTAATTACCTGTTTTATCTAGCTTAATATTTTATCATCTGTATTATGATTTAAATGCTTAACATATATTGATTCAAGATTTCATTGACAATTTTCAGTGGCTGCATGGGGAAGCACTGAAAATAAGATATAGTTTTGATAAGTAGTTCTTGAACACTGATACAAAAAACAAAGGCAAAGATTTTGTTTCTCTCAAAATGGACTATATCCATTATTTACAACAGTCAACAAAAAGAAAAAATATCAGATAATGTTTCTTTATGTTTGACATTACAGAATTAATTACCTGTTTTATCTAGCTTAATATTTTATCATCTGTATTATGATTTAAATGCTTAACATATATTGATTCAAGATTTCATTGACAATTTTCAGTGGCTGCATGGGGAAGCACTGAAAATAAGATATAGTTTTGATAAGTAGTTCTTGAACACTGATACAAAAAACAAAGGCAAAGATTTTGTTTCTCTCAAAATGCATAGAAGTCAAAAGTAAAACAGAGAAAAATAAATAAATAAACACTTAAAAGCTAAAGTACTGCAGTGTGATTTGAAATCTTTTCAAGTCTAATGTTATAAATTATGCAAATTTTGTATGATTAACAAAGAATTCAAGAAAGAGAGAAATAATTTGAAGAAAAAAAAAATGAAGAAAAGATTAAATTATTTTACAAAATAAAATTCAAGTGTTTTAAAAAAAGAAAAATATGGGGGAATTATTCCAAGCTATTAAACAGCAGAAAGATAAAAGAAAAAAAAATCAAGATATAATGTATATTGACAAGTAGTGTTATTAACATGAATGGATTGAAATAAAAAAGACCTTGTACACAGTGAACCCCCAATAAACAAAAAAGAAAAATTAACTCCCATGGTTAACTGTTTTTTTTGTTTTTTTTTTGCTAGGAGAAGGAAAATACAAAAACGAAAAGGTACTTACAATCCTAAAATTCTGAATGGTGCATATAAAATGAGGTTGGTCTGCTCTGCAACTATCAACATATACACAATCTGAAAAAGAAGAAACAAACCCATTAAATAACGCTCATCAATTTGCTTTCATTGCAAATAAATTTTGTTGGTTTCAGCTGTGGATTCAGAGCAACACACTGACATGTTGCATTTGCTCCAAGCTGTTTATTTGCACATAGCCAGCAAAAGAAAAACAAACAAGCAAAAAAGAATAGAAGCTACTTTCAAATGTCTGTCTCACCCTTATAAACCCAAGAAAAATCATACAGGATAGATAGAAACCCTATTAGAAGAGATGTATGTGAGAATAGAAAACAATATTCAAGTAAAGAAGATCTCTGGGAAGTAATAAAAGCCATTGCAAGTAATGTTAAAATAGTTGAAAACTAACTAAATCAATGATGAAAAGAGTGATGAACATTATAGAATGTCAAAGAACCTGTAAAGAAATAAAATAATTTATTCAGGTGTATGAAATATTGTGAAGAGATGACACTGGATAGAATAAGGTCATACAGTTTTAAGCGCAATATCATACATACTTATCTCCCTTCATTGACTAAAGAGAGAAAAACAGATTTTGAAATAATTCATATAAAAAAAAAAAAGCACATTTTGTGCTTAACATGCATTAACATTTATAGGATGCAAATATTTAACATTAGTTATTACCAATAAAAAATTAATGGATATATTTAAATAGTGACAAGTTTTTAATTTTTAAAATGTTTTTATTAAAATTTTTTTTAAATTTCTATTAATATGATAACATGACATCTGTTTGCTTAAAGTGACCCTAATCATGACTTTCACAACTATAAATCATTTTCTCACTACTCATTCAGAAATGAAATCAGGTTGACAATAATTACTTGACAAAGGGCAAGTCTATTGTTATAGACAGAAAAATAAACAGAAAATGTCATACATTCATTACTATATACTAGAAATGATGCCCAACATTGTGCAGGTTAAGACCTTTTTTTTTTTTTTTTTTTTTTGTTCATTTCTTTGTAACATGGTATCAGCAAAATTGTTATAATTAAAGCAGATAGGTTTAAATGTTTTGGTAGTTGTTTATTTTATATACAGTATAATCTATATTTGTTAGATTTTAAAAATATACTATCAAAAGATGTCTATATTGCTTACTTCCCTTTACTTCCAAGTTGTTATTTAACTGCTAAGATATTTACTACTTTCTGGGCAGAAAATGGCTTACTTGAATAATTAAGCAATTTAATTATAAATGGCAATGGTGAAATTAGCTCTTTCCTTATAAGGAAACTTTTAGCATTCATTGATCAAACAATTAGCATTACTATATTTATAAAATCTTTCTCTTAAAACATTTTTTCAGGAAAATAGGTGTCTCAAGTCCACTGTTATAGCAAAAGATGTTTCCTTCCTAACCTTTTGTTTAATGTAGTGTGAAAATTCAACATCTTGATTATGTTATTGTTTTTCCTTTGAGTTATATGTGTTACCAATTATAGTTGTTGCTGCTGTTGGAAGTTTTCAGGTGATGTGGTTTCTGTTATTTGGTAAAGTTCTTTGTGATTCTGTAGCACCAGTCTATGAGATCCACAGGATTCATTTGCTCAAGTGATTTTTAATCACCGATCTGAGAAAATAATTGTATATAGCTAATAGTTTAGATATTTCTGAATGAGTTGGGTGCCATGCATGACATCCGTATAAGAGTCTAGATCTGACAAGTCTTGGGTTAATGTTTTGGTTTTGTAGTATCTTAGAGGTTTGAACAAAATTACTTCTAGTTCAACCTATTCTGTGTTCAATTTCCTCATCTCGTATCAATCATTTACTTATAAAGATCACACACACACACAAAAAATGAAAATAAATAAAGCATTTTCTTAAAATTTGATTTTTAAAACTGAATATGCAAATTAGTTTTCTCCATTAAACAAGTTAAGCAAGATATAAAGTATATAATAATAGTTATAAAGGATAAAAATGCATTTCTTATAAAATCCTTATTAATAAGCTGGAACTCCTGGGAGCCATTCACCCAAGCAATACTTTTCCCTCAGGAGGAGACTAGAGTTATTCCCTAGTGTCTGAGATGTCCCCAAAGGAAGTGGACATACATGCAAGCTTTGTGAGCTAAACAAACTGATTTAATATAGCCAGTCTGATACAAATAATAAAGAATTCCTTACAGAACAAAACTTCCAAGACAATGTAGAAAGGTTCAAGAATGTCTTCTACCTTCATTTTACACTTTGGGAATCGAATACTTTACTTTTCAAAATTTTTTATACAATATATTGAAACATGTATTGCATTTAAAGTTTTTTCATCTTAGCAAAACCATAGGTGCTTTACTATAAGTTAATAAAAAGTTAATCTAGCAGGCCACTACTGTAGTGACTCCCCACCCAGACACACACCTGTGATCTTGTGCAAGACTACATTTACTTTAGGATATAAGTATGTGGGAGAAAATATTAATGGAGAGGTTCAAATCCAAAACAATAAAATATCTGGGGGTCATAATTCTAAGGGTCATAAATGAGTTTTGCAAGTCTAAAGTCAAAAATGCTGTGGGCATAAATCAAAAAGGGATAAAAAAAATCTGTATCCAAAACTGGCAATGCACAACTATTTTCTTCACTCATGAAGAACTAAGACTCATAGTCATCCAAAGTAGCATTCTTTTATTGGGATAAAAAAGGTTGTGATTGGTCAAGAATGGTAGGGAAACATAAATAATTAGCATATTTCAAAGTCTACACTGAAAATCAGTAAAAAAAAAATTGGCTTGACTTTAGTCAGGCCAATTTTTTTTACTGATTTTCTTTTTCAACAGATTTCACAGAAAACTCATATTCCTTTTTGAGGTAAAACTTTGTTTTCTCTTTCATCGCCACAAGTAATATATAAGAATAATACCTTATAACATTTTTTTTTAAATCACCCCCAAGCAAGGCAGTACAGCCACTGGTATGCAAGGGGTTACAGGGTGTGGAGAAATTAGGAACAGAAACATTAGTAATGAAGAGAAAGAGCAATCAGGAGGACAGTAGATAGCAATTGACATTGCACTTAAATTTTTGAAGAATAAAGTTGGTTGGAAAGCAATGGGTCAGGAGAGAGTTCCACAAGCGAGAAGTGTGAGATAAGAAACTATTAGCATAGAAGTTAGGGCTAGATCTAGCCAGCTCAACTGTAAATTGACGAGATCTTGCTGCCAGTCTAATATTGAACTTAAAATTCATACAGTCTAGGTACCATAGAGAAGATCTCACTCAAGCAATTACCATGAAAGTATTTATAAAAAAGGTACAGAGAAGCAACCTTACGGCAGTGGGCAAGTGAGCCTGCAGATCAGCTGCAAGATATTGTTGATTCTTCTTTGGATCTTATCAAGAATATGTACTTAAAAAATATAATTTGACAGTCATACTGAATATTAATAAATTATATTAAATTAAGTGAAATAATGTTCCAGATTTTCAACAGTAAGAAAAGCAAAAACCTTAGTTTCAAATGAATTAAATTGTTTTATTATAAATTGTATGATCTGAGAGGAATACTTGTCATATCATATTGTAAACATTGGTCTCTATAAAATCAAGAGATATTTATTTGTGAAAAAAGGAATAAGAGTAAGTCAGGAGAGAAATGAAAGCTGCTATCTTTATTTATAAAATGTCTATTTATATTTATCAAAGAATGATACAATTGCCTTTTTTTTTGGTTTTTACCTGTTCTAAAATTTAAGCTTGTTTTTTCCAGCATAGATAAATGCAAAGAAGCACGTATGCAAATGAGACCTCAAAATGATCAGGCACCAATCCAAGATTCTAGCCACTAAACCGCTTATTTAGAGATGAGTTTGTCTCACATTATGGCATGTTTACTTTCTGTGGTATTTATAGCAAAATTTCTTCAAAGGCTTTAAATATCCATTAGAAAAAATAGAAACATTGCTTTCTGAAATAGAAACAAAAAATGGCCTTAAGAGGACAAAGAGATTGAGAGACAATGAAGAAAGGTTCTCTAAGAACAACACTGTTTATCTACACAACCCAAACAAATAAAAAGAGAAATCAGATGTCAGATGTTTATACAAAGAGTAACCTTATGTCTGTTGGGCAGGTTTCTTATCAGTCAGTCATTGCCATGATTTAATCAACAGTCACTACATTCCCACTCTTCTCATTTTGTTATTTGATGACACAAGCATACACATCATTTAACATAGAGAAGCAATTTAGAGTTGTTTCTGTAATCAATAATTAGTCAAAAGACCAAAAAATAGCAGCTGCTCAGTTATTCTTGTAAAGGAATGCCAACACTTCTTGTTCACTCCATCTCCTCTTCTGGTGATTGGCCAGGTGTTAAGTTCTATGACTCCTACACTCCTTTTTATATTGGCTCAGTTGGCAGAGTATCAGACAGAAGATTAGCAAGTTAGTGTTCAGTCCTTTAGAAGAGTGAGCAAAAGAAATGATGTTGCTTCTATTTATGTTACTCAGATGTTGCAGATTCTCCAAAACCTATTATGCAATACACTTCCTTGGGGATAATAATCAGTAAGTTACTAAAAGAGGAAATAGAAAAGAGGAAACAGTATTTTTGTCAAATTATCCATCAATTGGAACTCAGTTAAGGTTCCGATTCTCAGACATTTATTTGTACATTTTTTTTAAGAAACATGCAGTTGGAAAAAACATTTACTGAATAACAAAATAAGACATAAAAAAAGAAAGGATGTTAGTTTTTAATTTTTATGTTTCAGTTGATAATGCAGCAAAGTTCATTAGGTTTAAGTGATAATCTACCAACAATATGGAAAGAATTGTCTCTGTAAGTTTCTTTTCTTTTGGACTACTGCTTATGGCCATATCACATTAAACACCAGTTCTCATACGATCACCAAAGTTAAGCAACATTCAGTCTGGTCAGTACTTAGATGAGTGACTGCTTGGGAATACCAGGTGCTGTAATCTTGGATGTAATAGATAATGGCTCGGAATTGTTCCTGTTGGGTTTGTTATATTCACTTATGCACAAATAACATTGAGAAGGGGGGTAGAAATCCAACTTTTCTGCCCCCCCCACATATATGATAAAATTACTAAAACTTGTACAACTAATATAAAAAAAAAAATCTAAAAAATATTTTCTAGCTTTAAGTAACCTTCAAATGGTTGATAAGCAGTAGAAAAAAAATTTTTAAATTATTTTTACTACTACTACTACTAATAATAATAATAATCATTATCTGTTATTAATAACAACCAGAACTATGTCTAGAGACACTAACATATAACAATCATGGTTGGTATGAAAATCAGACTATCAGAAGATAATGATTATAATCATCTGATGATCATAGTTGGCCTAAGAATAATGGTTACAGATCAGTGTCATTAGACAGATTCCTGGTTGTTGTTGTTGTTGTTGTTGTTGTTATTATGCCTGTGTCTTGGTTTGGTTTCCCATTTCAGGTTTCTTTATACTGTAGACACTGAGCATTCCTGATTTTTGTTAAGGTAGGTCCTTGTTTCTTTTTCAGGCTTTATATATGTATATGTTTTTGCATTTCCTCTTTACCTTTTTGTTGGTTTATTCTGATTACTCTGATATTAAAAGTATTTGAAACTACAGACAGACAGAAAAGCTATTTACTTTGATAACTAAAAAATAAAATCTAATTTCTTGATCTTTATTTTTCGGTACAGCCACAAGTCCTAATCAGCAATTGCCATCTTAACTAAGAAAAGGAAGTTTTGGTTGAAAGAGAATGAAGAAAAGTCAATTATTGGTTAATGAAATTTTTTAACCAATGATTCTACAGCAAAAGTTGAACTGTCCTGAACAAATGAAATAAACAACACTGAGGAAAACAAAATAGGGACAAAGTTTAAGATACATACCCTTAAAAAAGAAAAAAAAAAGAAGTGTGCTAAAAGGACATTTTTTCTCTCGGCACCAGTATTACTGTAAACTCTCTCTGCAATTTTTATTGTTTTAAAAACCTATTTTTAGAATTTTTATAAAACTGAAATATTTGAAATGGGATTTGAACATTTTCTCGAGAATTAACAACAAAAGAATTAAACACTATTTATTTTATTAGACTGTTTATTTACAAGAATAGTTTTATATTTACAAATTTATAAAAATATGTGAGCCAACAACATTTATTATTTACCATATTATAAAGAAATAAATATGAAAACAACATTTTTAATTCATAAATATATTAGAATGTAAATAAAAAATTTAAGAAACACATAACTATGAGTAACTAATAATAAATTTAAAGAAAAAGAAAAAAGTGCATTTTCCAGGCATTTCTTTTATTTGCTCTCACCATATGAATTCCCTAAAATAGGTTGTGAGTATCTAGATTTATACTTTTTTTTTCTCAATTGATTACAAAAATGTTAAACACTATTTACAAGAATAGTGTTCAATACCTTTGTTGTCAATTCTTGAGTAAAAGAGAATCCATAAATCCAGTTTCATGTTTGAGTTTTATTGAAATTCTAAAAATAACATTTAAAATAAAAAAATGCAGAGGGAGTATACATTAATAATGGTGTCAAGAGAAGAAAATGTCCTTTTGACATGCATTTTTTTTGTGGATACTTATGTTAAACTTTACCAAAACATGGTATTATCCTTCTCCAATACTAAGTGAAGGTAATGACCATACATTGACTTAAAACAAAAAGCCTTTCATGTAAAATGAACAAAATCTGTTAGTACAAAATATTTATCAGCACTGTTTACAAAGATAGTTACATCATAAGTAGGATTTATAAAACTAACAAGATAAACTATCATTCATTCTAATCACTACCTATCATGATACAGCAAATGCTGGTTGTAGAGAGAAAAAAATGAAAATAATTCAAATTGTATTATAGTGTTAATTGCATTTGCAGCTAGTAACTGACTGGTTGCATTCAATGCCTCAAAAACCAAACTAGTTACATTCCATCATCTCTGATCAGACCCCAAACTACCGCCTGTCATAATGAATGGATGTCCTCTCAAAGGAGGCTCTGTGTCTTGAGAGAATATAGGGCCTTAAACTCATCTCAGACCTCAAGTGGAACTCGTACATACAATCCATCGCTAAAGATGGAAGAAAAATAATCGATTCCCTGTATCGCTCCAGGAAGTACCCGACTCCTTGTGCTATCCTTTACCTTTACAAGAGCAAGATTAGTACTAAATGGAGTACTTTCAGGTCTTGATAGAGTTCAAAAAATATCTCTGCATCCTTGTGGGTGACAAATTATTTTCACCCTGCAACCCCTCTCTCACAGATGGGATGTGGCAAGTCTTTACATTGCTCTATTTCTATTTTCATGAAAAGTGCTCAGGCAAACTACATTCGTTGGTTCTGCCAGTTCTAAGCTTCATGGCTAAGACCTGCCATGCTACTCGCATTGTAGTGAACCATCCTCATTCCCTCTGTATTCCATTTATGAGAAGTAAGTTCCACTCAAACAGTTTCTTCCCATGAACCGTTGCTTTATGGAATCAACTCCCAAGAGGATGTTTCCCTAATCAGTACAATCTCTACTTGTTCAAGTCTAGGGTTAACCGTTATCTTCCTCTCCTATCTGCATAAACTCCCTCTTACTCTGTAACCATCTAACTTGAATGGACCCCAAACCTTGTACAGGGTGAACCTTACTGTAAAAACATGTTTTCAGTTTTATCTATTGTTGCCCACCATGTAACTATGCATTCATATATGTAAATGTATATGAATATACCTGTGTAGTGCATGTGTGACTTATATGTGCTTGTGCCATTTAATGTACACATACACACACACAGTTTGATTGAGTTGGAAATAAGACATTGGAATAATACATTTTATTCTGCTCAGTCTGGGCAACTGGGTTAAGCAATAAAAGCATAAAGTTGGAGATAAAAAAAAAACATTAATTTTTTTAAACCTTAAAAAAACTTTTCTTAAATTATTCAGTAATAAATAGAATTCATTTTTAAAGCTTCTTTAATTTTGTAAAAATAATTTTAGGTCTGTAATTAAAAAAAAAAAAAAAGAAAAAAAAAGGGGATTAATCTAAAATTTAGTTTATTTAAATGAAGGAATGGTATGAAAACAAACACACAGCAATTTATCTAAAATGAGTTAAAACAATTTCTTTCTATATCCAAATTTTTGCTTCAAGTATAAACCTGACAAAGTGTGTTTTTAATATCTTTCATTTCTTATTTTTTTCTTCAGATTGTCATGTGTTGTTGTAAATAGCCATGAGCTGATTGCAACAAAATATGAATAATGTCAAAGTTTCACGCTCGTCAAACACTCCAAATGTTCTTCTCTCAGCCATATCCTTGAAATTATTTGTAAAATAACGAGAAAAGATGGCACATTACACAGCTAAAATATGAATGTAAATTTGTTATAATTTGAATGAATTGGCATCAAATCAATTTCAAGATTTTAAATGATATTCTTAGAATTGGAATTTTTCTAGCACATTTCCACAAAAACAAATAAGGGAGGAGAATTTTTTCCTAAAAAACTAATATGGAGGTATTATTAATATATATTTATAAATAATTATTACAGTTTTATTTGTTTTAGGTGAACTATGTCTCAAAAATATTTTTTTGTTATGAATCTGTTAAATTAATTTTTAACAAATTTTATTTTTTTCATTGATTAATTCTTAAATTAAAGCTAATTAAAATAATAAACAAAAAGAAAAAGAACTGTTGCCACTCCTTGGCACCACAATAAAGTATCTTTGATGGCTAAGTGCCAATTTAAAAAACCACAACTTTGCAAGATACTAAAGAGCGGAAGATAAAATAACTATGTCCCATTACCTTTCAGAAACTAAATTGGAAAACCTTTCATTGTCAACTTTATCTTAAACGCAAATAGGAAAATTAACTTGAAAACAAACAGGAAAACAGAGACTTAACAATAGTGGAATGTTCTTGTACAGGAATTTTTAAAAATTCCCATGGCATTTCCTATTTGTAGACCTTTGTTTCTATATGTATACAATTCAGTTTTTTTGTACATTTTTTAGGTTGATTTGATCATATTAATGTCTGCATTGGAAGTTGACATATTTTAAATGAATTTCAACAATTGAGCTAAAGTTAAACAAATATAACTTTACAAAGAAAAAATAAACAATAGTATAATTAGCTAGTAAAATTAAAATGTACACAAGATCATGATTAAATGATACAAAGAAAGTGATTTTCATAGTAAAGAATTGTCTACTCATTCTTTAGTCTCCATTTAAGCATACAGGTCAAATTAACCAGCACAGTCTGATCAAAAAGTACTGGAACTAGTGCTATAAAAGAAAAACTACAACACATATCACTTCAGTATTTAATCTCCTTCAATTGATGGAAGCATTCTTGGAGCTCTTTTTTTTTTTTTTTTTTTTTGGATAGCGGGCAGGTGACTCATCACATTCTCTTGGATTTCTTTGATCTCTTGAAATCTTGTTCCTTTCAAGTGGGATTTGATTTAATTTTGAAAGATGAAAAAGATGCAAGGGGTGAGATCTAGGAAACTTGGTGGTTATTGAACCTGGTGAATGTTGTAAACCATGGTCATTGATAGAACTTCTGTGGTGTGGTGAAACAACCACACTCTACACACGTTCCATCCAAGCACTGCTATAAACAATGGAAGTGAGTGAGAATGTTATAACTTAGTGTGTATGTGAGACAGAGGTCAAGGTCAATCGGTGCCAAGCGGCTTCACTCTGCATACCTTAACTCCATTACCACAGTAACAGACCCAATATGTTTTGATCAAATACTGTATAGTGATCTTATAACTGTTTAACTCATCCAGGGCACCTCAACATGAGGTTATAGTTAATGAGCTAGACTGATTGACCACAATAGTAAATTGGATCCTCACTGGGTGCACACCATACTTGTGGCCTTGTACCAATTTCAGCAAATAACTATTTAAT